CATCATCCACGTAGTTTTTTCTTCTTTATCTCCCTTTTAATTTGTTTTTACAAAGTTATACGAGTAATTCTTAAATAAAACAAAAACAAAATTTCACTCTGATGGATCAAGTTGGCCACTCTTTCACGAAGCGATTTCTAATATCCCACTGGAATTTTGCCGCCTCCATTATCCAGAGGCAAGAATCGCACCAATCGGGGGGCACGTCTGCATATCCCATCATTATTATAACTGGGTGAATGTCTCCACTTCCACAATGCAAGTTATTTATTTTGTCCACCACCAATGTAATCCTCTCTCCAAACTGTGCTGGAGTGACATATGGGGGTCCTCTAGGGCTTGCTCTTTGAATTCGTAACCGCATTTCTTCTGATTCCGCCCGTGTAAAATCTGGGGCAGATGTTAAGCTCACGTCGCATCCGGAGATGATGAGGACAAGCATTTGGTGGCAATATTTTTCCAACGAGAATCCCGCTTCCGATGACGCCTTAAGCATTGCCATCCCTGCCTCTATATCATGGTCATAGAAAAAAATTGAAAGACCTCTTTCAAATAGAGCCGTAGGATTACCTTCTGCCAAACATCTGTCCTTGAACATTCTCATCCATGCCATATCAAAGAACCAAGGTGTGGGCACGCTTAGCAAATCCACGGTCCAAAGGAAGATTGGATCCTTGGAGATCTGGTATAAATCCCTACTTGCCACTAAAGCCCTACAATAATCGCGAGTGCTAGAACTGACTACCTTCTTTAGTATTTCGTTTTTCATCTCTATGGAACCCGCTTTGCCTAGCCATTGTATATGAATGAGATTGTGTTTCAGAAACTCTTTGGGTCCACGTTAAATAACAATCCACTTTATCACGTTTGGGGGAAACGATACGTCGTTTGAAGATATTGACCGCATTAACTCAAACCAGACATCGTTTGAAGATATTGACCGCATCAAGTATTTCCGAGTAATACAACCACAACATAAACCCTAAATCCAAATATGAATATGGTTGTACTAAGTATTTTCGAGTAATGCAATTACAACATAAAACCTAAATCCAAAGATGGTTGTACTAAGTATTTCCGAGTAATACAATCCCAACATATCTCTCCATTTTCCAAACTAAACCACGTTATCACCCGAGACACCTCCTCCAGCATTTTCACTTCCAGTATTTTCACCTCCAGCGTTTTCACTTCCAGCGTTTTCACCTCCAGTAAAATAGCTATAAAGTTTGTAAGATTCCGGCCGATGCTTATTACTCGTCTTCGTCCTCTTCGACTTCGGTCGATGCTCTCCAACGGATAGATGCCTTTTCTGCTGTTTTGCCCCCCTTTTTGGCTTGTAAACCGGGGGCAAAGCGCTCAATTGCTTAACATCATCGGGGACAACCCACTGTGACTTATGTGGAACAGGATAGATGGTTCTGTTATAAGCATAAGCCCACTGCTCGGTTAAATAATACATCGAACACAAGTCCTCCACGTTTATATCCACTTCTCTGTCTGGCCGCTTTATGTAAGCTTCTAATGCGGCTAATGCATGGACACATGGATACTTGTCTATATCAAAAAGCTTGCACGAGCAAGTTTTATTTTTCAAGCTCACCGTGTAGTTAATCCCATCTAATCCAAGCACGCTGTATTCAATCTAAATCATGTTTAACTTGAGACACCTAGCTTCTTAGATTCAGCTCATCTACTGTGAAAAATATTTTCCACAAAGGCAACCAGTTTGCGTCCTGGTGGCGTTGAAGCAGCCTCGTTCCTATGCTTGTTAAACCATTCACACAACTTTTCAACATTCGCATCTATCATAGGTAATAATGGCAGCTTCCTTGCATCTTTAAACACACTATTCAAGGACTCCACAACATTACTAGTATCTAGATTGTACCTCTCTGCTGGAAAATAGCACTTGGCCCATTTCGATACTTCTACACGCCTTTCTAGATAATCGGTCACAGCAGGATACTTTAATGCCATTCTCGAATAATGATCAAGAAACTCGGCCTCTGTATACTGCCTTGCGCACTCCATGAATGTATCTGCAACTATTTCTCTATCTCTTGAAACTTGCATTTTCACATTCTGTGAAAGATGCCAGGTGCAATACACATGTTTAGCTTCCGTGTACACCTCAGCTACTGCGTTAATAAGGCCTAAATTTCTGTCCGACACAATAACCAACTCAGGATTATTGGGTATAACCGTTTTTAACTGCCTGAAATACCACTCCTAACTGTCATTTTTTCTGAATCAATAACTCCAAAAGCAATCGGATAATGGTAACGATTACCATCCTGACAAGCAGCTAAGACTAGCTGACAACCCATTCCGGCTTTCAAAAAAATTGCATCAACAACTACCACTTTTCTCATAGCTACAAACCCCTCAACGCAAGCTCCCCAAGCGACAAATAAGTACTTGAATCTTCCTTGTTCGTCCAGTAACACCTTGTGTTTTGTTCCTGGATTCACCTTCTGTAGCATGTACAAATACGAGTACAGATCTCTGTAGCTGTCTGCAAGATAACCACGAACCAGAGATTTAGCTTGCTGTACTCCTCTCCATGCGGTGGAGTATGACACACTCACAGAAGCGTTTTGTTTAACCAAAATCATGACAGCGTGAGGAGTTGGTGTATCTAATCGTCCTGGATACAACTCCTTAACAACAGATGCAACTAATCCTGGTGTTCTTTTCCTTTGTTTGCTGTTTGTACTCGCACTGGCCCGAAAACAAGTATGCATCTTCCGGTATACTGTTATAGAAAAACAGGGTGTTTTCGCATCCTTCCAAGCTCGTAAATATCAATTACAACCTGTTTCACCGCATTTCATGACATATCGCCTCTTATCTGAATTCTTTATAGCCAGACCAAAATAATATTGATGTGAAGCTCTATACACTAAATCTATCAAATCTTGTTTACATGCAAATTGTTGCCCCACTCTCAGATTCATACCATCTTCCCATACAAAATGTTGTGTTTCTACAACTTCAGGAAGGGGACCATAATCAAAATCAAACCCTCTGTATTCCTCCTCTTCGTTATCAAACTTGGCTTTAGCATCATCATCTACTACATCAGCATTTTCACGGGAAACATCATCACCATCTTTTCCATTGTCATGTGTAACATCACCACCATCTTCTCCATCACGTGTAACATCATCACCATCTTTTCCCTCATCACCGTCAGCTTCCTCTATCAATGGGATATTCTCGTGATGTTGTTGTCCTGCTGAACAGTTGCCTAAATAGCAAGTACACCATTATTTGATCCACCATTACCTAAACGCAACCCCCCATAATTTATACCAACTGAACTTACCCTCTCAACTCTGGAAAATCTCTCTCCAACTTCAACACCTTTGATGACCTCTACATTAATAATACTTATGCGTCCCTCTTTATCCAGTGAGGTCAGGAACACGGCTAGGTCGTCATCCTTCGAAATATAAAACTGTTTCTGAGTTTGCACTAGTACCGGAATGTAACTCAGTATCAACTTACTCGAAGATTCAACAATCCCAACCTTCGTGCATATCTTTTCTACTAAATCAGAATAAGTAATCTCCTCCAAACTTGATGACTTAAACATTATACCATACATGGACGCTGGGGCTGAAATCCATTTATCCTCCGAAGTTGAATAATATCCCCCGTAATCAAAAAATATGTTCGTTATCATTATCACCTGAAAAAATAACACATAGACCATACTCAACCACATAAGAAATGTTTCCAATTGTTTCCAGAAATACACAGGTAATACCCATTGTTACTCTATCTCTCTCATTTAATTAGATCTAATTGTCAACTCGTGGAGAAAATCTAATCTAATACATACCCAGTCGATTAGCAACCAATTACAGCATCTAAAACCCCAATCCAATACATACCCAGTCGATTAGCAACCAATTAAAATTTCAATATTATACCATTGCCTGTTCAATACTCGAATTTAGTCCCAATCGTGGTTCTAGGGCAACGACTTTCCAATAACGAAATGAAAAAGAATATCCAACAAAATGTCAATTACCTCGATTAAGATTCAATGAGGGATGAGTGCAACAAAATGTCAAGAAGGATTCGAGTTCTGAGAATTCGTTCTCTAGCGATCGCTGGGGTGAAGCGAGCGAGCTGGTCAAAAATGGTTTCTCTTTCAACCCGGTCCCCGACAAAAAGACAAAGTCTGTTCTGATTGGCTAAATTTTTGGCGCCTAAAAATGTTGACACGCTCCTGATTGGTTAAAATTTGAGAAGCTCGCTTCTAATTGGCTACTCATGCTTATATCTCATTGGACGAATTTTTGTTTCGCCGCTCTTGATTGGTTTATCTCTGCTTATTTATGATTGGCCGATTTTTCAATTTTTTCTTATAATTTACTTCTGCCAAAATTACAAGGACAAATTGGAGATTTCCAAGCTCATTAAAAAGTGAGGGACCCGCGAGGGATACGCTAGAATAAATGATGAGATGAGAGAATAAATAATCTCTTAGAGGAGTGTTTCAGGTTATCTCTACCAAACAGCACGCCAATCTGTTAGAACACATATAATCTCAAAACTACCTGCAGCCCACCACTAACTTTGAAACTCATCAGCTATGTCTCCATAGGCAACACAACTTAAATCAACATTCATGTGATTTACAAATATTTAAAAATTAGCAGTTATTTTATTATCAACATCAATTACTACGTAAATGCTACTTACTTGGTATCTCTGATAGAGAATTTAATTCGGCTATTAAATCTCTTTGTTTCACCATAATCTGAATATTCTTTGATCCGAATAAGTCTTCCAACATATTCTACTTCACCAATTAAGTATGTTAATTTATGTATACATTATATTCATAATGATGAATGAAAACAAATGTCTAAATCATCCTAACCAATATCTTCTGGACTCTCATACAACATCATTTATAAAATAGTATAAGAAAGGTAGTAAAATAGTTCTTTTTTTTTTGGTCGAACTGCTATTTCATTCAATCAATCGTGCAAGTACATCAAAGTTTGCAAAGCTTCTTTCACAAGCATGTCGGCCTCGGAAACAAGCGATCGAGGGACATAACTGAAAGATATTACAGAGAAAGATAAAGCCAAGAGGCGAATATCGGTAACAATTGCATGAATATCCGTGTGCGTCTCCTGAGAGTTCAGGAGATTAACCAGCACTTGGGAGTCAGACAACACTTGTATTTCGCCGAAACCATGGTCCACACTGATGATCAGAGACTCCCAAATTGCCCACGCTTCTACAGCCGGTGCAGAGGTGACAAGACGGCGGGAATGAGAGGATCGCCGCTCAGGCTCCTCCATATTAGCCATAAAGATAATTCCCATACCACAGTTCTTCGATTCCAGATGCCAGGCGGCATCTACCATGCATCAATTTCTTAGAGGCGGTGGGAGAGACGTGATCGGCTGGTGAGGGGTTGACGGTTTCGGGAGGGAGAGTTGAGCTTCCTGCCAAGCTTTTGCCTCAAGGATGGCTTTTGAGATGACTTATTGTTCCGTGAAATTCCTCTCCGCAAAGATGCGATTATTCCATGCTGTCCATAAGTTCCAGCAAATCCAGACAGGAAGAGATGTCGCAGCGATACCTACTGGGGGGAAACTCACCAGGGAAGGCAGTTGGGCAAGGAAATCAAGCACCAGAGCCGAGTTCCCACTGGGAGGGGATCTGAGCGGGGCTAAATTCCAGATCTGACGCGCGAACTCACAATCTCGTAAGACGTGAGTGATAGTCTCGGGATTACCGCAAATCTTGCATCCATGGTCAACTTCAATCCCTCGTCTGACTAGTTGAACTCCTACTGGGAGCACCTCCACCGCTGATCGCCACAAAAACTGCTTTACTTTGGGCGCCGTGTGAAGGTTCCAAATGTTCTTTTTTCAGTTGAAGTCCCTCATTCGCTCCAGGATCGCTTCCACCATTGACATACCTTAGCCTGATCTAACGGTATATTTGCCATTTTTCTGCGGGAGCCACACCAATTTATCACTCAGGGGGGAAGAGCTAAGGGGGATGAGGCGGATGAGATGCTCATACTGGGGAAGAAGCTCTCGGATAAGTTCCCAGTTCCATGTTCGGTGCTCGTTGTCTAAGAGGTCTGAGACCCGCAAGTCCTTGTAAGCCAGCGGGGGCAAAAGGGCAGAGTGGCATTTCTAAACTGAGCCAGGGGTCAGTCCAAATGTTAATGGATTCACCATCGCCAATCAGCCAGCTCATCCTTTTACGAAGAACATCTCTGCCAGCCATAATGCCCCGCCAGCCATGAGAAGGGTTCGACGTGATGGTGCAATCCATGAACGGTTTGTTGGAGCAGTATTTTCCAAGGAGGACCCTAGCAAAGAGGGTATGGGGATGGGAAATCAGTCGTGCGCCCAGTTTAGTCAGCAAGGAGTCATTGAAATTTTCGATATCTCGAAAACCCAATCCTCCTGCATTCTTTGGGGCTGTTAATCTGGTCCAGGAGACCCAAGCCATCTTTCTTATGTCTGCTTTATCATCCCACCAAAATCTCGTAAGTACATATTGGATTTTCTTGCAAAGCGACTTTGGGAGTTTAAAACACGACATAGTGTATGAGGGCATAGCTGAGAGTACTGACTTTAACAAGACATGTTTTCCTGCCACTGAAAGGAATCTCGACGTCCAGCTATGTGATCTCTGTCGGATTTTATCCACAATACCTGCAAAGATATCTTTCTTTTTTCTCCCAAAATTTTCAGGCAAGCCAAGGTACTTTCCTGCCCTCCTTCGTTGTGGATATTGAGCGTGCGTCGAGCTTCAATACGCTGAAATCGCAGTGTTTTTGCAGAGAAAAGACCAAAGATTTGCCAAATCTGATGCTTTGTCCAGACGCTGCTTCATATTTCTTCAGAATATATACCAGGTTGTTGCAGCTATTTCGATCTGATTTGTAGAAGAACATAGTGTCATCCCAAACAGAAGATGGTTTATCGGGGGTCTGTTTCTCGATACTCTGATTCCTTCAAGGGACCCATCCTCCTGGCCCTGATGGCTCAATCCTGCCAGCACCTCAGTACAGAGGATAAAGAGATACGAGGAGAGGGGATCCCCCTGCCGAAGACCACGTGATGGTAGAACTGAGTCCTGAGGGCCTCCATTAATGAGGAAGGAGTATGAGACTGTTGTGACACATTCCATGATCCATGATATCCATTTATCATGGAAACCTAGTCTGGAGAGGACAGCTCGCAGGAAGTCCCACTCTATCCTATCATATGCCTTACTCATATATGTTTTCACGGCCATGAAACAACGTTTTGTTAGCTGCAGAGGTGTACAGGTAATGCAGAGTCTCGTGAGTGATCAAGACGTTGTCTGAGATGGCACGCCCTGGCACAAAGGCTGATTGGGTTCCGTAATCAGAAGAGGAAGAATCGATTGCAGTCATTTCGTGAGGGTTTTTGCTACAATCTTATAGTAGACGTTGCATAGCGCAACTGGACAATAATCTGCTACTTTCTTGGGTCCCGAAATCTTAGGGATTAGTCTGACATGAGTCTCGTTCTGGCGAGCTGGGAAGTGGCCTGTGGAGAAGAATCCCTGGATTTCTTTCACAAGATCTTGTCCAATAATGGGCCAAAAAATATGGAAGAAACCAGCAGAAAACCCGTCAGGACCCGGGGCTTTGCTTGGATGAATACTCTTTAAAGCCGCATGGATCTCCTCTGCATCTGGGATCCTGGTAAGACAGCGGTTCATCTCTTCTGTGACAAGCGGAGATAAGACTTCATCCACTAGAGCTTGGTTTGCAGTCGCCTGAGTCAAGAAGATATTTTGGAAGTAGCTCGAAATAATCCGGGTGAAATCCCTCTCCTCATGGAAAGCTTCACCATGGTCGTCTTCCAGCACCGTAAAACGGTTGCAAAATCTCCTATTTCGGGTAACTGCGTGAAAGTAGCTATTATTACGATCACCACTGTGGAGCCACAGAATTCGGCTGCGTTGCTTCCAAAATAGTTCTTCCTCTTTATAAGCTTTTTCCAGAATGGCTGTGAACTTTCCAATGGTTTCTGGATTAGGAACATCCTTTGAGAGCGCCGCTTCAAGCTCTGTTTGCGTTTCCAGAATGGTCTTGGCGCTGTTCAAATTTTGTTTCTTTGTCCAACGAATAATTTCCTGTCGACAATCAGAAATATTTGCCATAACCGATCACCATTATTCCAGACTCTTCCTATCAGATCCATGATTTCCTCTCGTTCGCGAAGTCTATTATCAAAGCAAAAAATGCCTTTTCGCTTGACTCTAGAATCGTCCAAGAAAGTCACCAGAGGTAAGTGATATGCACCTTCGTATCTGAGGTATTCAGCTCTTCCTGAGGGAAAGTCTTCCAGCCAGGCATCATTACACATAGATCTATCCAATCTAGCCCTAACAAAGTGGTCATACCTCATGCCCCGCCAAGACAATGGATTACCAGAATGTTTAACGTCCCATAATCCATTTTGCGATACGAAGCTGCAGAAGTTGATAAAAAGATCCTTCATGCCTCCTAGGGCCTCCTTTTTTCTCTGAGTTGTCAAGGATCTCATTGAAGTCACCAGAGAGCAGCCACGCAGAGCTTCTAGCTGCTCCCAAATCCGAGATTTGATTCCATACCTCTAGTCGTCTTTGGCTCATCGGATGACCATAGACAAAGGTAAGATGGACTGATTTCGCCTTGTACTTAATCTTGGTATCTATAAAATTTGGAGAGAACGTAAGAATCTCTAAATCGATGTCGTCTTTCCAAAATAGCGCTAACCCGCCACTAAGTCTAATCGGAGGAACCGTAAATTTGTTTTTGTAACCCATCCACTGACATACACTGAAGACAAACTCATCGTGGTTTTTTGTCTCCATGAGAAACGTTATATCCGGGAAGAGAGTGCGTCTAGGCGTCGAACTGTAAAGGAGTTTCTAAGCCCTTGACAGTTCCAAACGGTTGTAATCATTGAGAAACGGATGATTTTCGGGAAACCATGGGATCCTTACAAGCCAGTATTATGACCTTAGAAATAGAGTTAACAAGAGACAAATGAGAATCCTCAACACGAGGAACAAAAGAAGAAGACGACACCTTCGATTTCTTCGATAGTGGTTGGTTGGCTTGAGCCCCTGTGCCACCCTTTTTCTTCGGTGAGAACCTTTTTGATGCCACTTTACGCTTCATCATGCTTCCTTTAAGCGGGCTGAGGGGAACCAATTTCCTGGAGGCCGAGCTCATAAGGTTTTTTGCTATGGTTTTTGCTGATGATTTTGTAGGTGCTCTACTCGTTGTTGTACTCTACTTCTTCTTTGGTTTGATCTTCCTTGGAACTCCTAGACGTTGCTTTGCTGGGAGGACACGATCACCTAGTCGGAGAGCAGCCGGAGTTTTTTCTCCATGCAGAGGAGGCAGATCCGGTATTATGGCTTCCGAAGAGGCTTCCGAACTAGAGTTATACCTGTTGAATCTATCGCGAGCAATGCTGGAAGTACCCAGCAGCTGAAGTTGAGTTTCCTCCACCATGATTGGAGATCCCAACAGATCATCCTCGTCATCCCAGTTTTTCGGAGAAGACTCGGGAATAACAGTTCCACCCCGTCTAAAGGAGGGAGGCTGATCCTGGTCATGGTTTACCTCTATTCTTTCAAGTGCAGATTTGCGTCTCGAGCCCTCTGAGGAACCTGGGACTTCTTTGCCTCGAGAGTGAGGAGAATGAGAAACTCGAGCTTGGAGGGCTCTGTCTCGAGTGTCCGCATTCCAATGGAGAGAGATGATTCCTCTGTTAGAGGTTTTCGGAGAATCGCGATTAAGTGAAAATCTATTAAAGTCGTCGGAGCGGCGTTGATCAGGAACATCGTTAGAGAGACGAGATCAGAAGTTATCTCTGTTGCTTGGTCGAGCTCTTTCGCGAGAGTTATCTTGATAAGAGCAATTTCGATCATATCTGCCATCATCGCGGGAGGTGCGATGGACTTCTCTAGTCGGGGACCTTTTCTTGGTATAGGATGGGCTTCGGGAGTTGCGTTCATACCTGTGAGAACGGCCTATGTCATACCAACAAGGAGAGCGAGAGCGACGATACTCTCTTGGAGATCTTCTCGCTGGGCTGATATCTCTTCTCGCGTCGTGGATACGAGGTGGGGAACGATTTCTCGACACGTTCCTTAAAGCTCTCAGGTCTGGTGCTCTTACAGCTGGAGGATTGGTGATGCGCGAGTCAGCGATGGCCGAACCAGAATTGATAGGATAAGCCCTGTAGTTAAGCAAAGGTGGAGGCACATATGGTCGAGCTTTCTTCTCCTCTTTCCTTTGCCGATCTGATTCCAGGCGCTGTAGGGTCTGATGATTGTTGATGTGTTTATCCTACGGGTCTTGGAGCTTCAAGTCTCGAGTGTTAAGAGCTTGTGGACAGTTCTCCTTCTCGTGTGACAACGACATACACAGAAAACAATGCTTTTCCAAGCGCAAGTACTCAAAAACCACAGAGACTTCTACCCCAGATGGGAACTGACTTGACTGTTTCTGAATGAGCGGTTTGAGAGCATCAACATAGACCCGAACAGCGGCATCATCAATATCATAAGCATCATAGATTCCCAATACATTTCCGATGGCTTTCAAATTATTTTCAGTACAACATTGTGACGGAATACCGTGGATACGTACCCAGAATGGGATACGCGAAGGGAAGGCGTCCGAAATCACCGGCTCCCACCGCTGCAGAACGAACATCCACCGTTTGAAGTGGAAGAGTGCTTCGTTGAGGACTGCCTGCAGGTCTGTTTCTGATTTGAATTTGAACTGAAACTTCTCAGGTCCGAGATCCTTACCAGTAATCCGATCCTCCAAGCGCCACACCTGCGGCATGAATCCGACCAGATTCTTAGGCTTCTGAATCGTCGGGTTGAGCATTCTTCCGATTAGGGTTAGTTTATTTGCTTCAATCAAATCGGGATTAGCTTCGTCGGGGAGACGAATAGGTGGATCTCTCATCCAGCGGTGAGATCCACTAACTCCTTTGTCTTTCTCTTCTCTTGAGTATCGGCGATCCATCACAACGTGGGTAGCAAGCCAACTCAGGTATGACACACCACGTTATGAATAGATCACGGAAATAACTGCAAAATACAGTAAGGATGGAACTCAAAGCTAGTGTAGATCGTGAGGGGCGCGAAGATGGAGTGTTGCGGCGGTGCAATGTCGGAGCGGCGAGATCAGAGGTCCTTAAGTGAAGTAGACTCAACTCCCCCATCATTAACAACAAAATCCTTAATAGCATTCCATTTTTCTTCTTCAAAGGCACCATTGTAATAAGTAATAAACTTAGGGTTTGTCATTCATCCCTGTATTTTGCAACACTCTAAAGTAACGATTTCATAAAATAATCGATATAAATTAAGTGACACACGTAATTGCAAAACAGATCATTTGAATAAAGATAAATTCTTACTTCTTCGTCGATAAAAATAAATTCCAATCCTTCAATTTCCCTGTTGATCAACAATCTCCCATTTCTTCAACACCTTAACCCTTATCTTCCAATCTGATATCCAAGCATGAAGCTCAGAGACTTTGTCAAATGACTCCATATCTAAAGCTAAATGTTTTACTAAATGACAACACGACATATACTTTTCTTTGTTTTGCAATGGAATAAGTGATACCCTATTCATAAGATATATATATAGTATTTAAGCGTTGTATTCTGAAATATAGAAATGCAATCTTCCATTGATACATTAGTTATAAAAGGATATATATATATATATATATATATATAGTTAGCGAGATCTTATTGTCATATTCTGTAATAATCTTCTTTCTTTATATACTTTGATATCGAATCAGATCAATCTTAACAAATTAGTACTCAATTCTAAGTTAAGGATAACTACGTAATCCATTCAGTTAAGTAATGTAAACTTAAAAAATATTAAAAACTTTAAATCAAACATAACTATTTTAATATGTGAATTGAAATATATATACAGATTTCAAATAATTCCACTATCAGATGGTTACTTAATATTTAACATGCAAATTATTAAAATAGCATGATTTTCGTTTTTCAAATTTCTTGTTTTTTCTGATTGTATTTTAATATGTCATCTATAGTTAATTATTAGCAACAAGAATATAATATATAGAAACTTATAATAAATCCGAATAGCAGTATTGTCTTAGAATAAAAGAGTCATAAAAAAGCATTACAAAATATAAAAAGGAGGACATCACTCCTTATAGTTCCTACCTTAATTTATAAATATTCAAACGATGATACTTCTGTAGAAGCTATCATTTATTCATTCCCAACTCCACTGGTTCCAGCATAGTTTTCCGACTTACTCATCTTTTTCCAAATCCTAAAGAAAATATTAATATATTAGGTCTTACTATTGAATATGTATTCTGAAGACTAACTCAACAATTAATTTGTTAAACTTACTTCATTCGAAAGATGCACGGGTTATTGTTATCATTTAGACCGATATCATAAAGTTGTATAATGTCTTATGTAGTAATTAGAAGTTTATGTATTTGAAGTTTTTGTAGTATTTGATTGGGATCTTTATTTTTAAGTTATATGTTTTTCCCTACCAAATTTCTAATTCCACGCCTTATGACGAAAGGAGAGTCAGCGTGGCATCAAGTGAACAAATTAAATATGACATATGGTCTTTATATATGTAAAATAACTGTTTTGAATTTGTATTTTATTTGAATTTTTTAATGATTTTTTTTCTTTTAGGAAATAATTAAAAAGAAAATAAATATTTCGATTAACAACCTTCTTACATATATGTATATATTATGCTTAGTATAATAAAAAATTACCAAATAATTTCAGTGTAATTTTGTAAGCAACATATACTACTATATCATATTTTAGTCAATGTCAATACTAATATATTATATGTTAGTTAAGTAATACAACTAATAAAAACAGATATAAAAACATAAAGACAATGTAAAATTACAAAATGGTCTTCATATGTATACATGGGTAAACTTCCCACTGTGAAGAGCAAGAAGATAACAACAACAGAAAACCTCGGTGACATCGACGATTTACTCGATGTTGTAAGAAAGAATCGATTTACAGAATATTTCATTTTCGCAATTCTAGATATCTCAAATTATAGTTTTCAGAAGCTATCAGAGGTAAATAAATGATATTCGATAATCGGATTCTAACATAAAATATATTATTTTGTCTGATGAATTTAGTTCGGCATTCAATGGTTTATATCAGGGTTTATAGTTGAAGATAATAAGATTAATTTAACTCTCTATTTGATTTTATAATCTTACACGTGATTCATAAATTGTGAAGATTCCAGATGTCAAATATAAACTCCGACATCGGTTAATTGAAAGCAAAAGCAGTTATGGTTAGCAACGATACTATACATCTCGGAAGCAAATTATCAGGTTCTATTCTGTAATCTAATTTACTTCGTTGGACAATTTAAATTTGATTTAGTACAAATACCTATATTAATATAGTTTTATCTAGTCTAAGCTACATCAGAAGTGAAAAACAGATAATAATCAGAATTTCAGAAATGAGTTATCAACATGGAAATAGAGTGGCCATCTAATTATATATTATAAATAATAAGAGGTTTTGTAAATTAATACATTAAGTAGACATAATCCTAAGGTCACAGAAAGCATAAGATAATTTATAAATAAGTTTTAAAATATTAAAAAAGTAAGACATAACACCATAAACTTATAAATTAAAATAGAAATTACGTAACAATTGTTATCTTGAGTTGCGGCAGTTCCTGGAGTTGCAGACGAATCCATAATCTTTTTTATAATCCTGCAAACTAGAAATCATGAATCATTAGATAATTTATATACATAAAAATTGTGTATTTTTATTAGATAGGAACATGAACATTTTAAGGCTTACTAACTTGTTTCTGAACTTTGAAACTTCATCGATCGGTGGAGCAATGAGAAAGCGAGAGAAGCCAGTATTTTCATGTTCATGGATAATCAGTTCATCTACAAATATTTTACTTAACCAAATGAGGACTTGCTAGTAACTATAAATCATTATCAATTACTAAAATGATATAGTTCAAATCTTAAACATACTGATATTCTTCTTAACAGTCCAGTCAGTTAAAACGCAAATAGCGAAGGGCCCTGTGAATCCTTGACATTGTTATTTGATGTCAACAGCAAAGTCACTATAAGCAAAGCAATTGAAGATGTAATCCCTAAAAGTAAAATAAATAATAGTTAGATATAGTAAAAATGAGTATTATAATAAATTGAAAACTATATACATATTCTGAATCTTTAATGGTAAACATCAGATTTCGCTTCGTTTTTCCATATGGATAACACTGGGTGGGACATCTCTAATAGTTTCATGAACCCCCATCAAATCTATATACATAGATAAAGATTATAAACGAAGTTCTTCCAGAATAAGATGTATTGTGTTTTGATGTGAGTGCAGTGGGCAACACAAGTTTTACCCTATACAAGCTGCAAGTGAACAGCAAATGCAGTAGTACTTAGGGATCAAATCCACAGAGATCTGTGTGTTGAGGACTCCTAACTGATGCTAAAAACAATCGTAAACCTAATCTAATAAAAAGGGATTTTGGTTTGTCACTAAATCTAATTATGCAGAGAATTAAAAAGCTGGAAATAAAAATCGGTTGAAAACTATATGAAAAACGGTGCTGGGTTCAAGGTTCATCTTTGGGGTTCATGTTCTAAAACACAAGGAATTTAGGCAAGGATTTTCTATGACTCTGAAACTAGGATAGACACATGTAAGATTAGCCAACTCTCGTCACCCTAATCATCTAATCACTTGTTCATGGCAATTAACTCTCGCTCTCATGCCAGAACGAGATCATGCTTTGTAGATCGGAATCCATCTCTGCTTACGTATCCTCTGTAGGTAGCTTTCGTCTCCAACGACGGTGACGTCCATAAGATCCAGTTCAGGTAACCCAGATACAACACTCTCGTGGCTCGGATTAAACCTAGGATCAGATTCTGGGTGATCAATCCAGAATTACCGCTTTGAGATTTGGATGAATGGGAGAATCATGTTAAAAATCAATATCATTTTTCCTAAAAACCTAGATGTCATTCGAACATTTGGTCCCTTTGGATTACCCTTTCACCCAACTAGGTGATTACTCAGGCATGGCTGAGGTAGACATTATCATCGGTTTAGATCTAAGAAGAAGAAAAGTAAAAGAAACAAAGTTGCAGAAAAACTTCTCTTATTGAAGACAGAGTGGCGATGGAGAGCTTCGACAAATGCATAAAATAAAACCTAAAACTACAAATGAGTTCTCTCTCAAAGAGAAGAAAGAGGCTCTGTTACAAAAGACCTAAAAATGAGTATTTATAGTTTTTCTCCAAGTCTTGGGCGTCCAGGGCTTGTAAAATGGGTGCAGGAAGTGTCTTGGCCTTAGTTGGGCTCCTGAGGTTCGGACATAGGTCCACCGGGGGTGGAACCTCCAGAGCCGCGGTGGGAAGAAGGCTGGCCGCGGGTGAAAGCACTTATGCTTGACTGGACTTGTGTTGATCGGCCTTCAGTGCATTGATGATATCTTGAGATCTAACCGTTGCTTTGATTCCAAGTGTGTTGGAAAGCTGGTTGTCTCCTCTATAATGTCTCCAAATTTGGGGATGATCAGACGGTGAGAATGTCTTCATTATTTGCTAAACTTCTGACGTTCTGAATTTATCCAAAAATGTACCTTTGCTCCAAAATGCGCTCCAAAGTCCCAAGTTTCCTAAAAAGCCTTTTAAAACTCCAAAACATGGAAAACACTTATAAAACCTTTTGAGTAAAAACACCTGTGTAAGATACTGAAAGTGATCCATAAAAGTGGTCAAAATCAGGTGTTATCAACTCCCCCAAACTTAAACCTTTGTTTGTCCTCAAACAAAACCAAAGATCTGAACCTGGAAAAGAGGTTTGAAAATCGCAGGAACTAACAAAATCTCAGAGAACATGTTTCTAAACCAGAGTTAGTCATTATGCTCAAATCAAGGATAGTCTA